CTTATAGCACCGACTTCTAAGCTAGCAGTGGTCTGCTCGACTGGAGTGATACCACGGCCACATCGTATGAGTGATGTTACCAGAGGCCTAATACCCCCCCCCCCCTTCCCCAATCTCCTCAATCCCTGAATCCTTAACAATCCTAATTCCTAATCCCCAAAAACGCCTCCTAACGCCTCTGGTGTTCTAGGTGTCAAACTCAAAGTTACACCGCATTTATTCTACTTTCGTGGTCGTTCTATTAAAATAAAGCAATTCAATACATTTTGAAATTAGCAAATATTTTATAGGTATTAGATATTTGATTGTGTTTGTAAACTACGTAAAATATTAGAATTGCGTTTTAGAAGCACGTGTGATTGTATCTGGACGACCTCATTACTCTTAGATAATGCGACCGACTCGCATCCAGACGATGTTTCCGCTAGCTCCACAGACTGGAGATCTCGCTTTCTGGTGAAAACTGGAATTTACTGTCCCATGACTTTACAATAAACAATTTTGTTTTAAAGTTGGGTAGGGGCGAAGAAAAACTCGGGGAAAAACATGCCTATTTGGGTCACTGTTTAAATAAATACCTAAAGGGTTCCTATTAAACTTAAGATCATTAAGATTTTCACCGACGTTGTGGACGCTTGCAGTTAAATATGTCTCCAGTCCAATCTGTTTACCAAATAGCCAACCCCCATCTCACAAGGCGAGAAATTGTTAGGTAAGAAGTCGACGTCATTCAGCGGATGACGATAAACTCCCCTTTACTTGTCGAGTACCGGTTTTGTAGACACAATTATAGAACAATAGGTTGCGGTCACCGGTGACCGCTTGGTGTTTGACAGTTTAATGTAGCGATCGAAGTCTATTAATATGTTGTACAATCATTTGTTACTTTCGAGATCCCAATATAAAACTGCATCATCGGGAAAGCCAATTCTAATTGCGGAACTCAGTATCTACGAGCACTGAGCGAATACTGATAGGTATTTGAAATACACAATTTATAAGTACATAATTTGTTTTTAATTTTGTTCGGATTTTAAAGAAGAGAGATACCTACTTTAAATTTTTTTCAATTAATAACCTTGATCCCAAATACCTCATAGCAGATTCCAGGCATAATGTCTAATCACTAGCTAGATATGTAATTAGATCAACAACATGTTTTGAAATTTTATACAAAAACACCAATTCTATAATTAGAATCAAACACCTACTTTTCACATGTGTTAAAGTTATCAAATATTTTTGTTATTTTTAACATTAAATAAGTATTACAGCAAAATATTGTTTAAAGATTTCACGGAACTGTGGTAAAACCTGTTTGTTTTACTGCACGAAAACAAAATGAGCAATACTTTATGTCATTCGTCGACTTCGTGATTCTGGATGTATGTAATATAAATCCAGAAACGATAATAAATCGTCATTGAAATTCCCAATTGACCGAACTGTAACCATAATGACACCACATGGTCTATTAATGATCTTTTTATCTCAAATACTTTGTAAAACACGTATTGAAAGCGGTTTATCTTATTTTTTGCAAGTTGATACGCAAAGTAAACAATTCTGGTTTTACAAATGACTTCGTTATCGTATTGTGTTACTGACTTGTACCGAATAGCGGAGATTTCTAATAAAGGATATCTGTGTTATCCACTATGAAAATAATGACTAATAGGATGCTTCAGAACGAGCCATAAATTCGACTCCCGCATGGAAAAAATATTAATTTTAAAATTCACATTTTCAAAACAAAAATATTCGAATTTTATTCCAGGTACCAAAACTAGAACCTCTGCTTTTACACTTTCGCGAGATCAGTGAGCTTAAGAATTTGTATCACAATACCAGCCTTCAAGTTTCTATTAGTCAAAATATTTGTCAGTAACTCAACCAGACAAGCCCTTATAAAGCCCCTATAATACTTGTTTACCCAGATGTGAAAAGGTACCCAAGTTCATTGTACGACGCCCCAAACAATTAATCATCGCCTAATTATCACAAATCTTAAGTGTATATATATTATGTCAGTTCCCAAATAAAAACATACCTAATTTCCGTAATTCATCATAAATACAAATATTATTTTAACAATCTATTCGACAGATAAGTACAAGTAAACCAAAATAAATGAGAAATCCGAATATTAGTAAACAAATCGTTATGTTTACTTATAAATATATGGGTAATCTCAGGTTTTAACCTTTTAACGCTGAAGTATAAATAATATGTTTTTCGTAAGGACTACTCACAATTCAGCAGACTAAAGAAAATCCCTGTGGCGCCCTCTAAGTTAAGCCTCCTGTCCAGGCAGGTATCCAGCCAGGGCGAATGCTGAAGTCAAAAAATTCTATGAAATATTATCTATTGTTTTTATTTTATTTTCTCAATACCTGTTTCTTTGGTCAAATGGTCGCAAATGCCTTTGCTGAGCAAGGGGTGTCAGCTTCTATTTTGGGGTTGGAACAACATATAATAGTAAATTTTCAGATTTACAAAAAAATATCAGTAGTTGCACGGACTCTAGATTTGTGACTGGTTTAAGGCAATATAGTAGTAAACTCACCACCTCTAAAAAGTCCCTGATACAAAAATATATTTGAAATGGCGTTTAAAAGGTTAATAGGCAATACACAAGTATAGGTTATGTGTACGTTGTACAGTTCCAAACAGATGTTGGCACCACCAGCCACCGGCGGTTATCTTTTACATATGTACGTACTTAGTATAAATACGACGCGACTGTACAATTCACTAACACTGATAGAACCAAATCAGATATTGTTTTTATCTCACTTTTATTGTTAGTTTTCGTCACTTCTTAATAAATTTTATGGGTCCTGTAAAGGTAATAGGGATATTACACTTCTATCATCTATCGACAGCTTCTACTGATGCGATAGCCCATGACAATCCCGACAGAGGTGAATACATTAAATAGTTTATAACAATAAATCACAGAATCCTGAAATTTGCGCCATCTACCTAGTGCTCAATGAAATTATTTTTAATTCAAAGTAAATATAGAAATAATCTTCTACAAAAACAGTTTATCTACCATTCTACATAGTGGAATTTGGAATCGGAAGGAACTTGAAACAGCTCAGCGTCCGGTGTTCCAAGCTACGTTATGAACGTTTCAATGAATTATTTTGGATTTTGTTTTATCTCTCACACTGGATATCCGCGTAGTTATTTACAAATGTATGTGTCATATTTGCATGCGTTACGCAATAACAATACCGGTGGACTTTGATCAAAAGCTCAAAAACAGGAACTAGGTCATCTCACTCTTCTATATCTGAAAAACCATTAAATAAAACAATGTAGGTAGGTACTATACAGCTACATATGTGTTTGAAAAGTATTGGTTATCAGTTCGCAGTTAAATCGGATGTCAGTGTAACGTGAGCAGGTTGTTCGTTTGAGCAGATGCTGGTCGTGCCAGCCACCGCAGCCGATAGCGCTGGCTAGACGTGCAATAGTGACGCAACACAAAAAAAAATCATCTGCGTAAAACCTTGATAATTTTTCCCCGCACATTGTACTCGATGTGATTCAATTACGCATTCTGCGTATGTGCATAATGCACTATGCACTACTGTTAATATTACGCTGCTGAGTTTTATTTTTCCATTGCAATTACTGCGTTGCATTAAGGACGTACTGTTATAGAATTTATAAAGGAGTTCTGAATGTTCGGATTCTCTTATTCTTTCCTAAAATTATATGACCAAGACAAATCTTTTATCTGAAATTAGCATTTTGTCTTTTTTGTTACTATCGGGTGGTCAGGTCAGATGACTACATATATCTAGGTACATATTTAATTGTTATGTAGTTTCGTAATAATTTAGACTGCCCTAGGATCAATATGATAATAAATTAATAATACAACATATAATAAGTAAACCTACTAGGTACAGTAAAACGACAAAGGGTATGGGCATCACAACGGAAAAAATAGTGATAAGAAACTTTGAATGGATTTGTAGGGGTATTCATGAATGAATGGATTTCGCGTCCTGTTCATGACCGTGCGTGGCCAAACAGATATTAATGTGTAAATTATATATAATAATTAATTATACATATACATAATAATTAGGAAATACGTTTCTACGAAACGTACAAAACATATTTTTATTACTACTAGATGTTGTTACCACAATCTTGGGACATAGATTTTTTCACTGCAACATCAGCGTCCATATCCTACACTTACTTCGAGGAATACAAGTTCTTGTAGACTTGATATTTAGCTGGGATGCCCTAATTATGCAGCAGAAGCTACGAGATAACAAGGATCTAGACAGGTGCTGCTCTGTCCATAGCAATATGCGTCCGCGTACGTCATTTGTTTTGCCCGGTACATAGTCAAAAAAGCTTACAGCAAACTATTTTGACTTTTGTTAGTGTACCCATTTACTAGGTACTTGTGTTATCCAGCGGTAGACAAAGACATACGCTGAACTACAATAAAAATGTATACCTTACGCACTGTTGTTCAATTAGTTTTTGAGACGTTTAACCCAAAAATGTGTCTGTCACGAACACAATAAACAGTAGTCAGTCTCTTATGAACTTACGAAGTTATATTTACTACAATGTTGGATGCAAAGACTATTTGATAACTGTTATAAATCACGTTTACACTTTCAATATTGTTGTTAAGTACAACATAAATATAAAAACTTAGGTAAAAGAACTGTCGGGCAAGTCGGGCAAACAACCGATAACAACGGAAAATGAATGAGCCGGCTCTCAATTATGTTCAATAAACGGCTTTGTTAATTGATATTTCTACTCTTTTTATCTTTTTAACTGCAAAATGTATTAATATGTTGACAAAACAATGTATGTACCTAAGTATAATGTATTGTATGTGTATCTACCAACATAATGTTCGGCGTTTGAGTAACTGGCCGGCTTATTCTCTGCTAATGTTTGTTGTTGATTGCGTAAAAGGGTTAGATATATATTTTTAATTTATTTCCACTGGGTATGGCCGGTGCGGGACATGTGCGAGCGCGGATCCGCCGATAATCGCCAATCGACGTTATCGCGTCCGTCGCGCTGTCCGCCGGCGCCGCTCCATCTCGACCACGCTCATTCCAACCCTGGGACGCGACACAGCCGCCCGTCTGCACCTCATCCTGATGTTATATCCGCATATACTACCATCACTGATTAACTTCAATTAAATACATTAAAATAAATATCCTGAACGACTGAGAACTAAAAATCGTAAGTTTTTGCAAATCTATAATTATTTCCATTCATCAATTTACTTTTTTTGTTTAAAATTCATATTAATTTGTATTACCATTTTTACTTTCAGGTGCACAATGTTTTGTGACGGTTCCGGTCCGCTTCTTGAAGAAGCTCTCCTCAACGACCAACTACTTTTTGAATACTCGCCGGCGGAAAGCCTTATAAACTTTGAGCTTCCGTCATTGGATTCAGATGGTGACTGGCAACTTAGTGACTTGGATCTCAATTGTGATAGTTTTGTTAATAGTGTTAGTGACTTAAACAAGGACGCTTCTAACAGCTGTAACATCCTCGATGGATCAGTTTTCGATTTTGCTGAATTAGATAAGAGCATTATTGACGAATATCTCCTGGAAGCATTGAGCAGTGATCTCTCCAATGACTCACCACATTCTCCACAGTCAGGAACCGACTCTTCATTAAGCAACGAATCCCTTTGTGCTCTGGAAACCCACGACTATGTCACAGTAAATAAAACTTGGCCGAGCAATACGCGAGTGTATGAGAAGACCGATGTGAAAGTTCGTTCGTTCGGAGAACCAAAGTTTTGTCAAGAGCTGGGTGCGTTTCGTTGTCCTGTGGAGGATTGTGGCAAATTGTACGCAAAGGCGTCTCATGTTCGTGCTCACCTCCGGCGACACAGTGGTGAGAAGCCGTACCGGTGTACGTGGGGAGGTTGTTCGTGGAGGTTCGCGCGCTCGGACGAGCTAGCGCGACACCGGCGCAGTCACTCGGGAGACAAGCCGTACAGGTGCGGAGAGTGCGGCAAACGGTTCGCTCGCTCTGACCACCTCGCCAAGCACGGACGGGTGCACGCTCGTCGCGCCGCCGCCGCCGCTGCTGCTGCTGCCAGCAGGAGGGCTGCCTCAGCACCACTCGGACATCGAAGATCAACGAGGGGAATGTTACTACTATGATTAGGCACAAGATATTTGTGATGACTTGATAGATACGATGGAAGTCCCATACAATTTCGGTTAGTACTTAAAACCGCTAGATTACGGAGGTGCTTACCGAATTCCGTCATCAGTTGGAAGACTGAATTTGTTCTTATATGTGGAGAACATTGATGATGCTGCTTGACGTAGTAGTTAGGATAGTTTCGCCTTGGAAAGGCTGATTAGGTCACTTATAATGAAATGAAAGTGTAAGCTCAGATTAGACACCTAAGTAGGTACTTAATTAAACCCCAAAAATTATGTAAACTCTTAACGCACTATAGTATTTTAATACTAGATATTTAAATACCAGAATCTATACCAAATATTGACTGTGAATCTTTGAATGAAATGTTTGTAAATATTATTTTAAGTGTAATAAGCAATATTACTTTATTGTACCAAATAAATAAATCTAATTTCGTTATGTAAATATTAGTGTTAAGAATGTTATGCTTGTTTAAATTTCAAATCTCAATCAATAATACCAATATTAAAAAAATAAATAATAAAAATTTTAATTTATTGAAATTGATATCAGTTTTTGTATTGTTGGTTAGCATTGTTATTGGCCATCTGCTCCCTTGTCCTCTACTTTATAATAAAGGTTCTGTCAGGACCCGCCTGCCGAGTGTGGGGTTTATCACTAACCCCTCTAATCTAGAGAAGCCTCTTAGTACAGCAGTAAACTGTCAAGCGCCCTTGGTGTATTTGTACCCTCCCAAAACCGCTGCAACTTCTGTAAGCCAGGATCTACAGTAGATATACAACTATAAAAACACAGGAACACTGGAGTCTGGCGCGTCCCAGATACACGAATAACTGTCTTGAATCCCCCGACGGAATAAATCAGATAGAGGACAAGAAAAGAACGGCAGATTTCACTTCTCTCAGTGAATTTATACAGGCACAAATGAGACAGCACGACTGGCCAAAGCCCCCAGAATTTGTATTAGCCTATTAAGTAAACGAATCTAAAGTTCAACAGTTGAACTTCAAAAATGCTGTCAAGTTCAATGTTTCATCTCTTATCACTGCTCCGGCAGAAGGCCGAGCATATTTTATAAGCTACGGTACTGTAGTTACTTTTACAATTACAAATTACAATTGTGTGTGTCGAAAACTGCAAAAGATACAAATATTTTTTATTGTGTTAACTTGGCTCCTAATCTTGATGGTCGTTTGGTAAAATGTGAGACTGTTGGGGTTGGGTCCCATGTTCGAAGATCAAGGTGTTTTTTTCTATATATTCCACCACTATTTACAATGGATACATACATTATGACGCTTTATAATCCTCCAAGAGGTAGGCAGAAGGGTACATTACATGTAACTTCTAACAATGTATCAGTATGTTACACCAGTTATGAATCCCAAGGGGTGACATTAACGTTTTATGTTAGGGGTTAAACCTATAACCTGGTATATATCAGGCACAATTTCAAACTCACCGTATTTCAAAAAATATAGTCTCGAGTCCGATGCTGACAACCCAGCAATTTAAGAACTATCGTATAGTTTACCTAAGCTTTACATTATATAAGATAAGTTGGCTTACTTATTAAAAGTAAAACAATAAATATGAAATTAAATTATATTGTAACCTTGTCCTGATAATACCTAATATCTGCTAAGGGCTAGTCCTAAAAATAATCTAGATGTAAAAAACATACTACGACCGGATGCATGTTCACAGAAAAATATCCGAGAAAATCATGACTAATGGTTGACAAAAACAACTGTAAAATGTAATTTACTGTGACCCACGACTAGTTGAATTAAAATTGTTAAGTAAATAAATACCTACATAGAAATTGGAAATATTATGATCTTTTTTTTTCAATTACGGTTGTGTATTACGCGATCAGCGACGCGACGCCAACACTCGCAACACAAGACGAGACGAGACGTAAGTACGTTGCCGGCAAAAGGAGCACTTTCGATTGTTTCTTGGTTTGAATAGACTGTAGTGTCGGTTCGGAAAATCACAGGCGAAAACTCAAGCCCATTTCGTAAAAAAGACATTTGTGGACTGCTGACCATCAAGCCATTTAAACTGACTGACTGATATGAGACACAATAGAAAACACTGTGTCTCACGTATACGTATATTTATTAATTTACTTATTTAAAACTTTATAGCACATTACCTACTTCCGCGCGGTTTCACTGGCTATGCTCGGTGCCTATTAATCGTACCTTCGCCTCGATAAATGGGCTATTCAACACTGAAAGATTTTTTCAAATCGGACCAGTAGTTTCGGAGATTAGCGAGTTCAAACAAACAAACAAAAAACAAACTCTTCAGCTTTATAATGCCGCGCCGTAAGCATTCTCTGACAGTCTACCATTGGGTGATGTAGAATGGTAAAGCGGTATATCTGCGTTATACCATGGTTTGATGATACCTTTAGTATGATGGTGGAGATAGAACTGCTGTCACGACTTTATTACCTCAGGACTTGAAGATGCCTTCACCCCATATCCATATTATTATGATCGTGGTAGTTTCTTTGCCGCCTTTATTTATTTACCAACAGTCAAATCGTTATTGCAACATGCGGGCAACATAATATTCTTGACTCTTTGTACAGCAGCATAGTAGAGTCAGCAATATACCAACCGTACAGTAAGCAATGCAAGTAAATTAATTAGTTAGGTGCATAGTCTATATTGTACAGGTGCAGTGAACTCCAATAATACATTACTAGATACGCTTTTAATATTGATATCGAACTATGTTATTGTTATCCACATGCATAGCCGCATTGGATACTATTATCGCCGCTAAAGAAGTACAAAGTTGTAACGAACGTGCTAAAGATAAAAACATTACTTAATATTACTGTTTTCTTGCAAATTATTCACTTTAGACCGAAGCTTGTACTTGTGTAGTTCAATGTAAACTTTACATAGGTAGTTAAAGTTTGCATTTAGCCTATAGAGGCTAGCTAGAAGTATTTGTAAAATGAGTTTTGACTCTATTTTCAGTAAAAAAAGAAAAGCATAGTTTTTTGTGAGGTCTAAGTAATATAAGTGCCGCGGAGAACCTAACGGATTACCGGGGCTCCCGACGTGCAGGAGAAGGGACGGGGTGGTTTTTAGTCAGTAATAGTCTGACACCCCTCCCGCCTCACCCAGACGGGAGCAGTCATTCGATGATTTTCCCCCCTTAAAAAAAAAAAATGTAGGTAGGTACTTCCTTTCTTAACTTTATGGTTGAAGATTTGGATAGCGACACAAAAAATTGTCAAACGACAAACCTAAGCCTAATACTAACTTGCGAGGACCGCCCTGAGGACACGGTGGAACACACGGTGGGAGAATGCCCTTCGTGGGCTGAGCACCGCCGTGTCCTCAGGGAAGTGATCGGCGATGGCGACCTCTCGCGTCCGGGCCTAGTGCAGGCCATGATGCGGAGCGAGGGGGATTGGGATGCCGTCTCCTCCTTTTGCGAAGCAGTCATGCTAGCTAAGGAGGAGGCGGGACGCGTGAGGCAGCGAAGCGCTGCCTCCTCGCAACCCAGCCATCGCGAAGGACACACCGGGCGTCGGGGATCGCGGGACGATCTCCGGCCACCGTAAGCGCGGGCCTGCGGACGGCGAGCATGGGTGGCTCCCCGTCCGACCAGAAACAGACCCGAGCGTACGGCGCGTCGCGTTCCGCGCGCGCCTCAAAGAGCCATCAGACCACCACAGATGGGGCCCAATAGGGCCGATGCCGATTCGGAGTCGCGGAGAACCTAACGGGTAACCGGGGCTCCGGCTCGACGTGCAGGAGAAGGAACGGGGTGGTTTTTAGTCAGTAAGAGTCTGACACTCCCTCCCGCCTCACCCAGGCGGGGGCAGTAATTCGATGATTTTCCCCCCTTAAAAAAAAAAAAAAAAGCTTAATACTAACTAGTCAAGTACATATTTTTATTTAATGCAAATTTATGAAAATTTTTATAAATAATAATAATTATGCATGTTATCAGTATGGCGTAAGGAATGTTACAATAGATAGTTTGTAGGACGAGAAAGAAACAACAAGAATAAAACCTAGATAGATTATTTGTAGATATTTTATAATATGAAACATTTTCAGTTGAAAAGTAATGAATGTATTTTTGATTTGATTTATTTATTTTACACTGGCGATTGGGCACTCCGAGTATAAAATTGTGTAAACACTGATTATTAAATGGCAACACATCACTAATATTTCATTCTTCTGAATATGGACAAAGTTATAATCAAGATTTTTTGCAATAAATTATTCGATTTATTTTGTTTGTTTGAGACTCAAGATAGAAATTAAAATTAAAAACAAAATGGTTGTGAAATATTTAGCAAACGTAGGCTGTTTGAGTAAAACCTTGGCACAGTACAACACCACGAATTAAAAAAAAATTACATCAAATGTTTGTCTATTCTTGACAGTGGTTGTCTATGATATTATACGACCGAATTGAGAAGTTCCCATTTTGGTAGATTTTATTAACTTTTGAATATATTTTAAATCGTCTATTTTTCCATTGATACACGATTCAAGTCGGACACAAATAAAAATGGTGGTTCAATAGATTAGATTTCTCTGATCAAACTGTTTATTGAAATAACAAACGAACTTAATCAAAAGTGTTCGAGAAATAGAAAACTTTTTTATATTTTTTGCCAATATTAATATTTATCTGGTGCGATTACGTGGTGCGTTGGGAAGAGTTGTGTTTGACAAATAACAGGTTGTCGGAGACACCGATTTCGCTACAGTTTTGTATCTAAAGTGTTGTTTTTTTAACTGCAATACGCTTGTAAGGTGTACCAATTTTTAAATCATTTACTAAGTGTTTATTTAAGCGATGTAAACTCGAGTTGAATGGAAATAAAGTTCACTAAAGATCTCGAAGTAAGCTGGACAACTGTTCTATTCAATCAGCATGTGACCCAAATCTGAGATTTCTCTTCTTTGTGTTTTATTGCTGGGTTCATGTTTACGCAGTGAAAAGCTGAATCGATTGTCAAGGAATACAGAAAGCGGTGGTTTGAGCGGCGATCCTCAGTCAGGACATGCTATTTTATGAACTTGTCACGGTTGACTACCTGTGCAACTCGGTGGGGGTCAGGTGCAGTGCGCTGAATATCCATAATTTTAAAAGCATCGACCGGATTCCCGCTTTACTTGATGTTTTACTTATCAACATTGAATGAAAATACACAACTGAGATAGCTGTGGGAGATACAGTGATAACAGAGATCAGTGTTTACCTGAAATGTGTGTAAACAGTCGCGAAAGCATGAAACAAGTGAAACACATTGTGGTGAAATGAAGATCAGCTGTAAATACATTGAATTGAGCCGCACAGAGTAGGACAATGGTGCAAAATGGCTCATTCTGAAAATCACAGGTATATTGTGCAGGTCAGTAACATTTTACCTCTTTTTTTATTACTTGTGTTCCATACATAAGTCTACTGCTAAAAATTCTCATTTGTTCGTATTCTTAACTAAATTACCTTCTTGGTAGTTATACAAATAACAATAATCATACAAATTGTTCTCAGTAAAAATCAAATAAAAATTCTCATTTTTTATTTTAACTTAATTATTGGAAACCAGTAAATGTGGAGTCTTTGTTGTATGAAACATGTCCATATGTTGAACAAAATATAGTTCTGTTAAAATGTTCTCAGAATAACAACTGACTCAATGTCACATTTTTCAGTACTGGCCGAGTCTTTCAATCCAGTTAATGTCAATTACCAATTTACTTCCTCATCCCAAAAAGGAAGTCTCATTTTTAAAGTCAGTTCTCAAAGAAAAGAATTCTTATTTTGTACAAAGTTCAATGCCAGCCCTGTCCATATTAATGTTTATAGTGCAACTGTAGAAAGTAAACAAATACATGTTTGTTTACACATTTCAAATGCTTCTATGCATAGTGACTAATTTTAAAAGAATTTATCAATAGAATAGTAATAGGTAAATACATCCTAAAATTTTGCATAACAATTGCTAGAACTGGGATGATATGCTGCTCTCATGATTTATGTGCATCATTTTGAACTGATTGGATATAAAAAACTGAAAAACGGAATCTACTCCTTGGAATGAGCAAATAGCTTCACTTTTAATTTTTATGTTGACGTTCATAAGTGCCTTTTTGGCCTAATTGAAATAAATTATTTTGACTTTGACTTTGAAAATAGAACTTGCTTGTAGATGAAAAAAATGTGCTGATGATGATAAAACATTTCATATTAAAAAATTCTTTACTAGAAATAATCTTGACATAATATCGTATGTAAAAGGGCTCTCATCACAAAATTAAAAAAGATGTCTAATATTTATTTTTCATTCGCTTTTTTACTACAATCTGTAACCCTTATAACAATTTTTATGTAGTATTATAAAATTCCTCAAATGCAGGTGTATGTGGGTGCACTGTCTCCACACTACGAGGCCCTGTCAGTAGAAGCCTCCAAGCAGACCAGCTCTGAAGAAATTGTCTGCTGCATCACTGACAAACTCGGACTTACTAATGGATCCGGAGGCCCATATGAACTGGCAGAAGTAAGTTTATTATTATTACAAATAATTACTTTTCCATGTCAATGACCAGAACAATCATAGTGAATTGATTACATATCAAATAATGGCTAATCTTTTCAATTAAAGAATACATGCAGCTTTGTCATCATCATATTAGTAGTAATTAGTATAAAAATTCTATTCTGTGTATTATTTTAATGTGTTGATCAAAGTTATAGTGTTTTTTATAGGAAGGAAAATAGCCCATGTTTAACAAATTCAGTATTACATCTCCATCTTCTCCAACCCATTCTAACATAGAAAGTGTTAGGTTAGGTCCAAAAAACATGTCAGGTCTTAACAAAATCCTGTTACAGAGTATCTCAAACATGTTTGTTCAATATCTGTCAACTTTAAACAGCTCGCCACATTGATACAAAAAATTGATTAACAATATAAACATTAACAATTTTTTGCTCATTGTAACTGAGTGAGTCAGCTTCTGTCCAAGACGATTACTTCCTTTGCTTGGTCATCAGTGAGACATTCTGCATGTGTCGTCCAGCTCATAGGCTAGATTATAACATTTTAAGGAAGTTACAGATACGATAAATATAGTTGTACACTTTGTTTTTAAAAAGTGATGATAACATTTGTTCTATATTAACGGTTGAATTTATCAAATGAACTAGTTTAGCCTAAATTCCATTTAATTTGTCGTAACTGTGTATAAAATGATCGAAATGTGCCAGTTAGCTATCGAATTATTGTTGTGTTGTGAGTTTAAAATGTTGTTAATAATGTGTGATTCAATTTAATGGCTGAGGAACCCATGATTGGTGAGCGAAACTATTAGTCAGACGACAAACACATATGAGCTGGTACTCATTTATTATCCTTAAATGTGTTGTTACTGTAATTTAAAGTAATGTCTCCAATAGGTGGTGGGAGACATGCTCAGCGGCGAGTGCAAGGAGCGGCGACTGGGGCCCAATGAGTCGCCCGTCGCTGTCATGTTACTGTGGCCCAACAACACCGGCTCGGGACAGTATAACAGGTCAGTAGCAGTACCAAGAAACCTCTCATGTGTATGTGTCATATACTAATTACTTATGACACATTATTTCAATCATAATTATCATATCAACAAAAAAAATATATCGGACGTTGTCGCTTTGTCGATATTATTACGTTCATATGAACAACACAAAAACGTATTATTAACATTGTTTTCAAGTGTTACAACATTCACTCTTGTTACATGTTAATTTTCCTGCTGTAATTAACACTGTAGCGTTCAAGTTATGATTAATTTAATTAAAGTACAGACTACAAATTGCATACCTACCCTATTTGAATATAAATATATTTTCCTCGACGCGGACAGTAGTCTGTGGCGAGTCGAACAATGTCAAATCAGGTTTTTCTATATAATTGTCTTATTCCTGCAATTATGTATTACGAGAGATACGTCTAACCTTGTCTTAAACACCTGCGTGTCTTGTGTCTGTACCTTTACATACAGTTGTGCTCATTAAGTGTCCTGTCACCGCAATACTATTTGTACTATGTTCTGTTGTGATGATTCATCGTAATTTGTTTTGCGCGAGGTAATTATCGTAATTTTGGCTTCTGTATCCTTACTGTACGGAAAAGAGACAACTTCAATTAACATAAATTGTAGATCGAATTTCTATTATTATGCATTTAAACGCGAGTAATAACAGATGTAACTAAAACGTTATCGAAGTCCCGCTATGAATGTGTTTATTATACATATCGAACGTTGCAATGAAATAAGTGTTGTTTGAACGACTACTTAGTTGTATAATGAAGGGCTGTAGCAGTGATTGGGGATAATATCCCAGAGTGGCGCATGACTCACTCTTCCTGCGGCAGCGGCGTGATAACGGCGTCTCCATCCTGCCAATCAAACTGAAACTTTGCCGCTCGATCAAACATGGCCTCTAAAACTGTTCCACAACTCACAAATATTTAGATTTCGTCATTATGACTCAAAAGTAAAATCTTATTTTTAGACACTTTCCCGCTTATTAACGTCGATATCGCGGTTCAAAGGTTTTGTTTTTGTTTGCAGATTTTATCTCCGAGAGAAAATTCCCGACGAACCATGGATGGAGAACTTCTCGGTGGACCCGCAGCTGATAAAGGATTACTTCCAGCGCTTCCTGTATCAGCCAAAAGACCGCGAGTACCCTGATCTGTGCCAGTTGCCGGAGCTCAACGAGCAGACGTTGCTAGATAACTTGAGGGCGAGGTTCTCGGCTGGCTACATCTACACATACGTCGGCTCTATATTAATAGCACTCAACCCGTTCAAGTTCTACCCTATCTACAACCCGAAGTACGTGAAGCTATATCAGAACAAACGTATAGGACTGCCGCCTCACATATTCGCAGTTGCCGACGCCGCATATCATTGTATGCTCCGAGAGAGAACTAATCAATGCATAGTGATCAGTGGAGAGAGTGGTTCAGGAAAGACTGAGAGTACGAATTTTCTACTACATCATCTGACGGCGTTGAGTCAAAAAGGATCTCATGGTAGTGGTGTCGAGCAAACAATATTGAGTGCAGGCCCAGTGCTAGAAGCATTTGGAAATGCTAAAACTGCCCATAATAATAATTCCAGTCGGTTTGGCAAGTTTATACAAGTGAACTACAAGGAGAATGGCATGGTGCATGGAGCTGTTGTACAAAAATATCTTCTGGAAAAATCAAGAATATGCAGTCAAGGTCGTAACGAGAGGAATTATCATGTGTTCTATTACTTATTGGCTGGTGCGTCGGAGCAGGAGAAGGAACAGTTGCATTTACTTAGTGTTGACAAATATAATTATTTATCGAGGACTGGTTGTAGTGAGGTGCCCGGTATTGATGAACAGTATGAGTTTTCTCGGTTAAAACAATCCATGGAGATGGTGGGCTTCACGATGGATAAGCAGCGGCGACTGTTCGCCGTCCTATCGGCCGTGCTACTTTTGGGTAAGTTTCTCAACGAAATTTGTCAAGTATGTTATAAATTCATCATCTCACCATTAACATAATCTTATCAGCTGATAGAGAGGCTTTATTACTTTGATAATTTCTATTATCAGACATATTATTGTTAAATTACATACCAACGTCACAGTGAAAGTAAATACATCAATGCAAATAAGTTGTGGACTTCAAATCATTTTTAAACATTTCTGGTATTGTTTGGAAAATATGATACTTTTGATTATACTAACATTATGTAAAAAAATATAATTACTCTTGAAGTCTGAATGACTAGTCTGCTAATAACACATTTTTTTACAACACTAACAGTATTAAATCATGCATAGCCACATTTTGAATAATTTGTCTCACGAAATTTTTAAATTACTACCAAAGTATCCTTTTTGTAACACAGGATTATCACTTCATTCATGACATAAGACACAGTAAGAGTAGCTTTTTACAGATTATTTTCAAGACTGGTTAAATACTTACATTTTCCATATTTTCATGATTCCACTGAGTATAATTAGCTAAAAATAGGAAACTGATTCCTTTTCCTCCTACACTCAACAAATATGTAAATTGTTGCATTCTTGTATTAGTAATTGACATTTGCATCAATCATTTTCCTTCATTTGTATTTCATATAACTATGTAACATGCTTTAATTTACAAAATTATTGTAATAATTTCATTCAAATAGCTTGAACAAGTAATCATAACTCTGAAGATGAGTACTTTAAATAAAGAGACTTAAAACATGTCAAAATAGATGGAAAAATAAAATTAACTAATTTTGATATTCAATGAAGACTCAATTCTCGAATGATCTGATTTTAACAATAATATATTAATAAGCAGCTATTTAAAAAAGCCATTGAAAAGTCCTTTAGCCTTTATTAAAGAATAGAATAGACACAAGGATATATTTTTGGGATATTTAACAAATGATAGAAGAAAATAAAGGAAGTATGCTAGGATCATAACATAATCCTTGCATACTTCCTTTATTTTCTCATTCATTTTAAGGATCGTATCATAGGACAAATGCGTAAGCTTGTTATATGTTTTTAACAAGTGGTTAAGGAAGTGAGGGTTTCCCGCGTATACAGGAAATTTGGGAATTAATTTAAAATAGGGAATAACATAACAAAGTATATCCCATAGTGAATCATCACTGTCATAAAATCATGGAGAATCAATTCTGTTTGTTTTGGCACTTATTCTAGAATCTATATAGAAAATGTTCTATTGATTGATCTATAGTCTATTGAGTAATATATGAGCTGTAGAGTTTATTTGATCGCATCAATTTCTGGAACTACTGGCTTCTACAGCAGACTAGCTGTAGGGACTTCGATTTTCGAAATTATGAACTACAATTTGCTTTTTAATCCTCATATTAACATTTAAAATATAACTGGAATGTGGCTGACGTGTGACTAATATTTCTACATTTTATTTCATATGACTTAATTGTAAAAGGAAAATTAAATAATGAGTGCACTGCATACCAAAAAGAAAGAAAAAATACTGTAATTATTATATCGTTATTATTTATTTTAATGGTTTCCTCATGATTTCTAGCATTCCCTTTTATTCCAGTTACGTACGTTTCGAGTTATAAAATGATGCAAACAACTTTTTTCAAAAATAAAATCACATTATTTACAGGCAATGTGGAGTTCCAACCGCAGAGGAAGTCATATCACCATGATGAAGCGGTGGGTGTACGGAACCCGGAGGTGGTTTCTCTCATTTCATCGCTGCTGCGGGTCAAACAGGAGACCCTACTGGCTGCCCTCACGTCCAAACGAGCACGGGCTTCCGGAGAAACCCTAGTTATAAATTACCGGTGAGGGGTATTATTCATTACTTTTATTTATGGAATAGGAGGCAAACAGCAGGCAGGTCACCCGATGATACGAAATCAGCACCGCCTAGGGGCACCTGCAACACCAAAAGAGTCACAGGTGCGTTGCCGGCCTTTTTAAAAAAAAAAGGATTACTTTTTTCCAGTCAAAAAACCATTGGTCTATTGGCTTGTTTCTCGTTCAATCATTATCATTGGCAGTAGTAAACGGTATCAACTGTTTATTCAGTTCATATAGTTAATATAGTACTTGTCACCATCAAATAACACTCAGCTCAGGAGTAGACATTAAAGTTAGGTTTATTCCTATCATGTTGCTAATATTCGCGCGTTCTCTCGCTTACAGTATTCAATATTATTCATTGCGGAAAAAGTGATCGACGATTGGCGTAAATATCATCACACAGTCACTTGTCGATTCAAAGTAAATGCAAGGAAAACAAACAATATCTTTGAAAAGAGGCCAAGGTAGACAATCTTTTATGGAATCTTGCCAGTAATTAGGAACAACCATATGGTATTTATTCAAAAGAGGATAGGCTTTATATCTGTTATTGTAATCTGAGATTCTGCGATTATACACAATGTAATCATGCAAATGAATTGATGTAAAATTTAAATTTTCTATCCATAGGCTCATTTACTATGAAATTGTTTGTTTACTATCTTTGTAGTTTCTTATCTGTGGGGATTATCGTCTTATATTGAAGTCGCATTCCTTTCTTATGAGATGGTTGGGGGATTAGAAGCACTATCTCTTGTCTCGTCCCTTCGTCCAAACTTAAGCATGTGACAAGGCTGTCGCACTGAATAAGTAGCTTTTGACATGGTGATTTGACATTATACGTGATGGTATTATTTTGTTTGGATTTTTTAATTGAGAGTTAAATTAAAATGACGCACAAATTAAGTTTCCTTAACCATTTTAAGATTGCCATACTTACCTTTAGTGTATTTTTTTAAAGTTTTAACACTATACAAATTGATGTTTTTCTAATATTTCCATTGGTATCTACTTACAGGTTGCCTGAAGCGATAGCGACGCGAGACGCGATGGCAAAGTGCTTATATGGTGCTCTCTTCGACTGGATTGTGATGCAAGTCAACCACGCGTTGCTCTCTAAAAAGGATACGCTAAGGGAACATCAGGGACATAGTATAGGTGAGTTACAATACCATACATTTCCAGTCCCATATAAATGCAACTTGTAAATCTCATATAAATAAAACAAATACTAACGACTATTCTAGACTCCGTACGATTGATTACTAAGAATCTTCCAAAATTAATAGTACCGGTCTTATTAATTTTGGAAGATTCTAGTAAGTAAGTTGTAATTCTTCTAATTGTAATTCTTGTAAGATTGGAAGAATTTTGTAAGTCCGGTCTTAGCACAACCGGGAAATGGAACTGATAATCCCATATTCGGCATCGCACTTGCAATAAAATGCTAAATCCTTACATACCTTTTTCATACGCCGCGCCGTTCAATAGCATTACCATTAGAATTCTACTCATACTCTAAAATTTTACAGGCGTTCTGGACATATTCGGTTTCGAGGACTTTGGTCTGAGCAACAGCTTTGAGCAGTTGTGCATCAACTATGCTAACGAGCACCTGCAGCATTACTTCAACCAGCATGTGTTCAAGTACGAGCAGGAGGAGTACAAGCGGGAAGGTATACCCTGGACTGATATAGGGTTCAGTGACAACACGGGCTGCTTGCAGCTCATTGAAGGCAAGGTCAATGGGCTCCTGTGCCTGCTCGATGATCAGTGCAAGTGAGTATTTTGTCGATGGGATTTTTTTTAAATAGATGTTTTCTGTGCTTTTTGGATGGATAAAAAGTTTAACTAAGATTATTTAGCAGTTCAGTAACTCATTTGTTTTAACATAACATAGAGGTGCACATTTTGCCACTGTACAATGTAACACCCACTTATCACTATTTATGTTATAACTCTCATGTAATAGGGGATGAGCCTATTGCCATATACCGGGCACAATTCTAGACTCCGTGCTACTGCTGAGAATTTTTTTAAAACCCATTTATACGTTGCCCGACCCGGGAATCGAATCCGAGATCCCTTGCCCGGCAGTTGCACTTGCGACTACTCGGCCAACGAGGTAGTCATTTGTTTTACTTAACTTGTCGAGTACCGTCATAGACACAATTAAAGAACAATAGGTTGCGGTCACCGGTGTCCTCGCGGTGTTTGACAGTTTAAGCTTATTTACGACCAAAATTCTGATATTAAACCGATTGTAATACAAAATCTGTGGTGCAATCTAAGTTTTTGATAGAAAGTTCATATTATAATGTCAAATATCTATGTTAATCCAAAGTTTTGATTTGATATCGGTTGTTAATAATTGAAACTATTTTGACAGAATACAGAAAACAATAATTTTGTCATGATTATCACTAACAAAATAATATAAATTTCAGCTTCCCATGGGCGACGAATGAGACGTTATTACAGAAGTTTAATTCTGTACATGAGAACAATCCCTTCTATGAGAAGCCACAGAGGCGGGAGCCTGCTTTTGTAGTCAGACATTATGCTGGGAGAGTCAAGTATCAGGTAAGAACAACATTTCTAGATAAACAATAGAAAAAAAAAGTTTCAATATATCTGAATCATGTGATAATGACTTATTTATTAAAAAATATTTGCCTAAAAATCTTAAACCGAGCCTAAAGGGTTTAAGTAGTATTTAAACTTAAATTAATGGCAGGTTTAGTTAGACTCGTTATTTAGAACCTAGAGTCGGACAACTGTACTTGGTGCGACTAGCGATTCATTTGACAGTAGTAGTATTTGTGTTCTTTGTATACAAATCAACTTGCTGATTTTCAAAACTATGACTAAACTCATAGAAAAAATATCAGAAATAACATACATAACATCACGCCTTTTATTCCCGAAGAGGTAGGCAGAGGCGTACATTATGCCACTACAATGTAACACCCACTTTTCACTATTTATGTTATGAGTCTCATGTAATAGGAGGTGAGCCTATTGCCATATGCCGGGCACAATTCCAGACTCCGTGCTACTACTGAGGTTTTTTTAAAACCCAGTAATACTATGCCCGACCCGGGAATCGAACCCGAGACCCCTTGCCCGGCTGTCGCACTTGCGACCACTCTGCCAACGAGGCAGTCAATCAAAAATAAATTATTAAAAATTATCTTATGTTTCAGGTGACGGCGATGCGCGAGAAGAACTTGGACTTGATGCGGCAGGATATAGTGAGCGTGTTGAAGAACTCCTCGCTAGCATTCGTGAGGGAACTCGTCGGAGTCGACCCGGTAGCCGTCTTCCGATGGGCGATTGTGCGCGCTTTTTTCAGGTAAATATACAGTGATTTAGTTTTTTCTTGGTTTTTTGTTAATTGGCTTTGCTATGTTTGACAGTAATTTGACTCTATACCATAAAGCGTTAACTTAGCGATGTCAATACGACTTGTTTATACTAAGAAATCACTATATTAAACATAACAATAAGGTCTTGAATATTGATGTAAATCGATAATTAATTTGTTTATTTTCCAGAGGGTATTTTGCGTTCCTGGAGGCAGGGCGGAGACACCGCGTGCAGCGAGTAGACGGCGCGTCCCGCGTACCGCGCGCCTCTATCCACGCCCCCAACGACACCATCATCAGGTCAGTTACATCCACAAACATACCCTATTGCAACGTCATTGTGTCCAATTTGCATTACAATTAAAATCCAGCTTAAACAAAGTACATTACCACTAACTGCAAATTTTGTAATACCATATTAACTTGAAAGGCATGAAGAGTATTACTTATTATTACGTATATTATAATGGAACAAATTGGCAAGTGAAAAGATTATTGGAAATTGTATTGTTGGGTCTGTTTCTAGCCACAAATGCTCCGACAAAAATATTGTAGTTTTCCGAGAAACTACAAACGTTTTCTCAAACTATACTATTCAATATTCACGTGACTTAATGAGCTTATATTTCATATGTAAATGAAGCACTTGCGGTTTGAAACGCGGCCTTGATGATTTACATTATTGTTATGTATAAAATATGTATTAAATATAGCTTTGCAAGCAACGTTATGTGACGTAATGAAATGTGTCTTGTTGCTCAGCCAACTGGTGACAGTATCGTCAATCAATCTTGCAATCAACCGCATTGCGTAAGTCACCGAATTTACGGCATGCTTGTTATATGTTCTATGTGCACCTAACGCATGGACATCCATGTCTTAGTCAAACCTGTAACACCCTTTGTTGCGTACTGCGCGTACTGGGCGAGGTCGCCGCCGGTCCATCCCGCCGCCACCTCGACTGTGTCTTTGTTGACTCGCTATTAGTCCCAAGCATTAGTTTCCATCTTAGCTCTCTATTAGGTATTACTCATTCTCACCCGCGGTCACCCTGAGCAGGTATGCATGCATCACAGTCTCATGTAATTCGGTCGTCCGAGTTATTTTTGTTACATTAATTTTGTAATCCTGGATTCCTTTCTCACCCTCCATCCCTGGGACAGAACGCCCCACAGAGCGGGCAGTAAGGCGCGCGAGACTCCGACGCGGGCGCACGCCGATACTAAACCCAGGACAGAGACAGCGAACGCGGCCCGCACGGGTGGGAAAGGGACAAAAAATTACAGGATCGCCGAGACTCGCACGCGGCGGGAGCGCGCGCTCGACGACACCGACGTCATGCAGCGCGCCAGCCAGATCGTCATGTACGTCGCTCTGTGACACTCCGATACTCTCTGCACCGCTCACTCCTCAAACAAAGTCTGACACGACGAGTGCTAATACTACCTCACTCCTCCTTTGATCAAATTCTTACATTTCATTCAGTTTTTTATTTTATTTTGTACCCATTTGAATGATCACTCAAGGAATTTTGTTTGAAGAACCTGCGTGTTTCGGTTGGGGTCTCTTCACTTTCCTCTCTCACGGTGATGGCTATGGGTTTCGTGTTTTCGTGCATTTATCTGTCGCATTCCTTTTGTGGCGTCTTTATTGCATATTATGTATAATATTATTATAATATAACGGTTGGTTTCAGCTATACACATACAATTACATCTTCTATTGCAATGTATTGTTCAGGTTTAGAAGTAAATAATACATAGACGCTGTAATTGTAGTTTGTTGCTTTATTGTATGGGTCAAGCGTAGTAACAGGTTTCTGCAGATTTTTATCTAAATTAAGCTGTAATTCAATTAAGCAATAAAACATCCTCTTTTACATTATAAGCTTGTTCTTATTCGCAGATAAATTGTTTTAAATCAGCTTCTTGGATTGCAAATTGCTCAAAAAAGTTTTGAAAAGACCACATTTACTAGCATGTATGTAAATAATTCGCACATTTTCACTGAGCAGTTACTTAGGTGGTTGGTGTTCCCTTTAAGAGATCTCATGACTTTATGGATGCTTTAAAGGAGCAAACATTAAATTAAAAGTGAATAAAATCCATATTGCGGTCTCTTAGAGTGCCAGTTTCTGATATTCGTGTTGTTAAATGAGTTTGATTTGATTGTGCAGGAAAAACAAGTCATTTAGGCCTAGGGAGAGAGCGAAAAAAGGTTTAAAGAATCTGCAGAGCGTGAAGACGTTGGCGGGTCGCACGGCGGCGCCGGCCGGGAAACGGAAACAACAACAGACTGTCGCCGCGCAGTTCCAGCACTCACTCTCCGCGCTCATGGACACGCTCAATCAGGCCAATCCATTCTTCATCAGGTAAACTCTATATTACTAAACATTACGCTAAAGCCAGAATTACAGCCTTAGTATAGGTAAGGTTATTTTTGTGACTACTAGACCTATAGGACAACCATTATAGTCGGTATTGTTAGTAGAAGTGGATGGAACAGTAATAAGTGGTTTAAAAACATTTAATCTGCTCACATATTCATTTAATTCAATGTTACAAAATAAACAGACTCAGAATTGATAGACAATCAATTCAAAATACTGTCTTTTACCGGCGCTTGGATTTGCCTTCAATAGTCTTCTGTCGGCAGTCAGAGATTAATCATACCTTTATTCAACAGATGTATAAAATCCAACGGCGAGAAAGTTCCACATGTGTTCGACGATGAAACTGTACAGCGTCAGCTTCGATACACGGGAATGTTGGAAACGGTCCGGATACGACAGGCCGGGTATAATGTCCGACTCACGTACGAGGAGTTCATACAACTCTACAGGATATTATTACCGAAAGGACTGCTCAGTTCCCAAACTGATGTACGACACTTCCTCGCCACACTCAACTTGGATAGGGATAACTATCAATTAGGTAAGTTATTTCTTTAGTAATATTAATAAAAATACAGCTAACTATTCGAGAAAAGCTATACTAATTTCAAGCTCCATTGGGACTCTTATTCATAAACAGCGTGGGCGATGCAGCGACGTCGCATAGCTAACAAATCACTTAAAAATAACCCGAATACCATGGCTTTAGTATTTGAACTAAAATATTGTCACTTATTTTATTTTATTTAATGAATATAATTACGTTGCAGGTGCTACAAAGATCTTCATGCGTGAGAGTGAGCAGACGAAGCTGGAGTACCGACTGCACCAGCAGATCATGGCTTCCATCATCACCATACAGCGGTGGTTCAGGGCCGTGCTCGAGAGGAGACGGTTCCTGGCACTACGGCGGGCTTCCGTCGTCATACAGTATTTTACCAGGTCAGTGTAATTCTGTTGTATTCGGAGTCATTTAGACTTTTGTTAACGTTTTGATTTGAATCAAGGAAATGGTACTGTTCACCTTCGCAAAATGATTTTCTACTTTAATTTATAATCTAGTCACTGCTGTGAAGTTTTCTTTCTAATTACCCTAATGATTTACTTATTGTACTCGTAATAATTTCTAATAGTTTTGATGTTTTATTCGTACTCTTGTTAACAACTGCAACGGTATCTCGTATCAAGTCGTATCGTATCCATATATATAGTAGGTACATCCATAACACTTTTTTACTAACAAACCTCATAAAATACTCAAGTATTAGAGATACAATCAAGAGGCAGAGAATGACACCTTTTTATTTCCCAGACAATGGCTATCAGCGCGACAGGTGGCAGTGGTACGTCTACAAGCGTGGTACCGCGGCGCGCGACAGCGACGGTGGTACTTACGGCTACGTCGCGGGATCGTCGCCTTCCAGGCCGCCGCCAGGGGACATCTACTGCGACGGGCCATACTGGCGCGCAGACCTTCGGGAGACTCCGAGGTACATATACCGCATGATGTTATAACAATTAATATTATACATACTCTTTGTTTTTTTCAACTGTTTGCCTTACGAGTCAGGGTTATCTTTCTTAAATGTTTCTGTCGCCATCTTATGAATACTAGCATGGATGTATAATGCATTTTCTTATTGCATTATAAGTTGACTGTTCTTTCCGTTATGCACTTGTATTATACAACACTGTAGAATAAATCATCCATCTAAATATTATACAAAACTGATAAATGATAACCCTCGCCCGGATATGAAAAATTAAAATTCAAAATTTTGTTGATTGATCTCAGTTTGGCACCCTTATCCAATTCGATGTTCTATAACTGTTAGGGTTTGTTTCACTATCTTCTAATAATGTTAGAAAGAGGTTATGCAACTTAAAATCGAGGTTATTGGTACTGATTTTGACCTTTCGATTATGTATTAAATTTTAACTCGTTGTTTAAATCTTCACCACCTCGGAATATAAACATGTCACTGTGACTTCTAGATATACGACAGAATAAATACAAAACTAGAATTATTCTTATACTTAAAATTCAAATAAAGTTCAGTACTATTTGGAATAGTACCCATTTATTTGAAAGTCAAATGTTAGATTGGAAGAATATAACAATAGTGAAGCAAGTCCCCCGACTAACAGAGAGTTGGTGTGACTAACAGTGTGGTGAGTGTGTAGTGCGACACTAGTGTTGTTTGTGTTGACAGCATGACGGCCGCGCCGACCCCGCCCCGCGCCGCGGACACTGCAGGGACCCCGGGTGAGTGCCTCGACACTACAGCTTTACATACATTGCTTACTTTTTCATGTTCATCCACGTGGTACCATGAAGACATGACCATAATGACGTACCCTACTGTAGTACAAGCCTTTAATATGGTACCATGATTTGAACTCTAGGGTCCATCTGTTAAAATTAATTTTCGTTTACTGGCTACCAACTCCATACATGTAAAAGCCAGCCATCTAAATTGCTACAATGCAAAGGAAAAATTGCTCTTTGAAATCCGTAGAAATATACAAAAACTTTTGAAGACAAACTAGTTTGAAGACGTATGTTTCGATCTTCGCATTGCACCAAATTCCTAAAATAATAAATTGTTGAAATATTTTAGAAGTATTCTACGAAAAGATCTGGAAAATTCGAGGCAACTGAGGGCGACACAATCATTACCTATACCGAGGTAAGAATAATAATTATAACTACTTATATTCAATCATTTACTAAGCTAATATAGATTCAAATAAGCTGAAGTGTATGTTCATAAAATGGTACTGTTATAGGGTCGAGAAGAAACGGGACATTTTAATAGATACTATAGAAAATACAACAAATGTTCAGAAAGTCAAGAAGAGAGTTTCCAAGACAGAAAATGCTTTGATGAGACAGACAAGCACAAGGTAAATATAGTATTTAATACCTTCAAATATCTAAAAGTACAGCTCATCAAGCTACTCCTCAATCTGGTAATAGAATGTCAACTTTAATCAATACGTTACGTAAAATTTATAATTCAAAAAAATACCTTTCCTCAGCGTAATACCCAAAGAAACGAGCGAGTCGCCAGAGGATGAGAGATGGAATGTCACCACGAATACGAACAGGTATCTTCAGACTGGAGTCACTCTACCCAACAAGATCACTCCTGAAGACTTAGCCGACGAATTACTCTGGCTACGGCTCGACCAGAACTACCTCATGAATGAAAAAGAAGCTATTACTAAGGTATAAATAATATTATACTAATTTAACAGCCCAATCTACAAGTTCACTATTGCAGTCGTTTACAATATTAATACTAGTCGTTATTTTTATGTTTAAATGAGAAAAATCTTGTATAAACTTGTTAATAAGGAAGTTTAATGTTTGTTTAGAAACGAGAAAAGCGAGAGAAAGAAGACTACACATCGAAAAAGAAAGAATTGGAGCTATTGGAGTCCATCATGAGTAGCAGTGAAGAGTACCTTAGACAGATAGGCAATTGGAACCCTTCGGATAGTACGGAAACTAATAAAACTAGTATTAGGTAAGTGTTTTAATATTCTTTGCTTGAACAACAAGTGTTTAACACGTCGTCATGACGGATTATAACAGTATATGTCACGATCGGGGAAGATTTGCCCTTAAAATTTTTTTATCCGTAGTCAATGGTTAACCAATTTTATTGAAGACTGACCGACAGACTGTTGTTATTAATATTTTGTTTTGACGACGTTCAAAAGTGTCTTCTTGGTGTAATTGAATTAAATTATTTTGACTTATACTTTATGAACGAGAATGAACTTGGCAAGAATCGGATCGTATGCGCGGTCGACAGTAGAACGAATATCTACATGTTTAAATAAGACTAAATGAAGCTTATCGTTCGAGATGTTTATTGTTGACTTATACTGAGGGCCTAGTACAAGTTTGTTTTACGTTTAATTAAAGTAATAGAAACGAGACCGCGTTCGAAGCTCTGATAAGTTGGTTCATTGGAGTCGGCAAATCAGAGTGCCGAACGCGGTTTTGTTTCGACTACTTTAGAAGTTTAAGTTTAAACTTTGAACGTAAAACAAACTCGTACTAAACCCTCAGGATTTTATAATTTATTATTTGGCGGTATTCCAATGTTGTAATGATAGTCTTATAGAAAGGGTTAAATTGACTAGATGTGTAAGTATAATAATTAACAAGTGTCTGTCGCTTCCAGACGTGGGTCTGCGGGCGTGTACCAGCGCAGCGTGTCGAGCGCGACGCTGGAGGCGCGCGGCGCGGGCGGGCCGCAGACGCTGCAGTCGCTGCCCGGCCTGCGCCGCGACCCGCGCGCCCCGCCGCCCGCCGCGCCGCACTCCGCGCCGCACTCCGCGCCCGCGCCCGGCCTCTCCGTCACACCTGCGCCTGAAACACGTACGTACAAACATTGCATTATGATGTCTTCTTCAACCATTCAAAGGCCTTTGATTCAACGTCGGTTCGTTGTCACCCCCATTAAATATTAAACATTGAGTCTTAGAACCTTTCAGGCCTTCGACTAAGAATATGCCGAAGGCCTGAAAAAGAGAAGGAAGGTGGTGTGATTTACTTCTAATGAAGTGTAAAGTTCAAAGCGCTGTTCATAATATACTGAAAGGTCTATTATAGCTTTCTTCGTTGATTATTTAGTTGTGTTACGATTATTTATTATTGTTATCTAGCGGCGAGTACAGAGCCGGCCAGTGTATGCGCGGCGCCCGCGCCCCCGGCCCGGTCAGGGCGCCGCTCGCCCCGCCGCGCCGAGCGAGGCCCGCCGCCTGATATCATCGTCGACGCCTCGCTCTCACTGCACGACCGGTAACTATCATACGATCTGAATTTCTACTTTTGTTCTATTTCTAAGTCAATTCTTTGGCAAGTGCTAATTTAACTACAATATTTGTTAAGTCTCCTATGAAAATCTTATTATGGTACACTTTTCAATTATGTTTTTGTTACGTACTATGTATTAACATGTGTTCCACACTTATCCAAAATTTATTCTTCTATAACCGTATACATTTTTTTATTATTAGTAGTCAAACCTATTACAATAACGTCATCTTTTCTGTAGCGCTGGTTCGGAGCAAATAAGTGGTCTAGTAGTGGCGGGGGTCCCCACGCCGAGCGTGGCGGGCGCAGCTCTACGGCGGCGGAACTCGGACCCCGCCCCCGGGGACGTACGGCCACTCGACCCACGCTCCACTGACTTCATCGGACAGACTGGGAATGGACTCTTCCGAATCGCTGGCCACAGGTAACTAAAATAAATACCTAAAAAACTTAGCATAATATTTCACCAAATTAGTCATACCCTTGTCGACATTTTGACAAACAAAATCAACACTTATTTTATCAACAATATTTGAACATAAAACAATGTTGTAAACGATTGCAAATTATTCTTGATTGTTAACATCTAACTACTGATCTAACTACTAAGTTCATACATACGTTTTATTTCGACAGGTTTCGTAAAGGCACTCGGTTTGCGAAGGGCGACAAGTGCGTATACTGCCACCAAGCTATCGACGCATTCATCACGCAGGGCCAGCGCTGCATCGACTGCAAACAACTCTACCATACCAAGTGCATACAGAACAAAGGAGTCATCACCATGCCTTGCTCTAGTCCCGTCACCGTCGCCAGTAGGGGGCGCCACAAGAACAGAAAGAGAATCATATCCAACTCTAATTATAACTTACTAGATAACTCCAAAAGTTCTGTCAGTTCCAACTTTAACCTAACGGGCACGTCAGAATTTATGGATAGGACCGATAAGATAATATCGGACGCGACTGAGCTACAAGCAATGCAGAATTTCATTATGGAGAAGATTTATGAAATGGAACCTAATGAGAAGAAGAAGCAATCTGAGGTGTGTACTGAGCAGTGTAATATTTTAATCCGAAAACAAAACCTTAAATGCTCTTGATAAAGTTTATTTTTGCGTGTCCACCAAGCTACAACTTCTTGCTTCCTCTTCAACAGGTCGACAGGGTATTCAAACACGCATTACTAGAATTCAAAGACAATTTAGTAGCGACGTACAGCATAGTGGAGACGCGGGGGTCTGCGCTGAAGTACAAGGATCTGATTGGAAACTTCCTGCATGTCATGGAGACAGTTTGTGCCAGGGAGGGGTCCACGCTCTCCATCACCATGGGGGTCAACGCCTTTAGGGGTTTCATGGACGAGTTTATGAGCCAACATGACACTGACAAAGCTAGGACGAAAAGAAAAAAGGATAAAAAGAGAAAGGTATGGCTTATCCCTCTTTCATAATATTAAAACTGGCTTTAGCCATTATTGCAAGTTTAAAATAAGAAGGTTGCTTTTGTGAAAAATGTCACCATAAAGAGTTTGCATAGTAAAATGTGTTTAATCTATATATGAGAAATAAAACTCGTTTCCCGTTGTCACGCCATAACTTGAGAACGGCTAGACCGATTTGGCTGATCTTTTTTTTTTGTTGTGTTTGATATTGTCAGGAGAAGGTTCTTACGACAGAAAAAATACTACGGGAGCGGGAGAAAACGGGACTGCGCGTACGAAGTCGCGGGCAGAAGCTAGTAGATATTAAAAACCATACCAGTTGTCCATTTGCTTTATTGGCAAAACGTGAACTAAAGTACATTACTAACTAAAATAAAGTACATGGACTTTCAGAAGGTGTTGTTAATTGAATTTGTTGTATAACTATTCGTGTTTTGTTATTCCAGGTGGACGATCCAATACAATACAAAGGTCATACGTTCATACTGTCCATGATAAACATACCGACGGAGTGTGAGATCTGCAAGACTTTCTTCATGTGGCCCATAGAACGGTCGCTCATATGCCAGACGTGTAAACTTGCCTCGCATAAGAAGTGTTACACTAAGGTAAAATTTAAACTCTTTATTTATTGTACTTTTTGATTATGTTAGCTTATTATACATAACAAGCTACCCGTGAATTTATTGTGACGTTTTTACAAGCTCTTTTATGATATAGGTGTCGACACTGTGCCGTAAAGACAACCAGACCCCGTCGGCCGCGATAGTGGGCGCTGTCGACGCCGGCGGACGGGAACAAATGGGGGTCGTCACACGAGGAAAGGTAATATACAGAAACTTTACACATTTTCTTGTTGTATGCAGTCAATAAAGAGAAATATTATGCACACTACCTTTCAGATTTAACCCTAGACGCTAAGCTCCAGTGGGCTCCACATATAAATAAGTTATCGAAAAGGCTCAGTTCTGCAGCATATGCCGTTAAAAAAATTAGAAATCTAACCGATGTAGATACAGCGCGATTAGTATACTTTAGTTATTTTCATAGTGTTATGTCATATGGTATTCTCTTATGGGGGAATGCTGCTGACATTCAATCTATCTTTGTTCTGCAGAAGAGGGCCATTCGATCAATTTATAATCTTAGTCCGAGGTACTCTCTCAGGGAACTATTTAAAGAAATTAATATAATGACGGTTGCTTCTCAATACATTTATGAAAATTTAGTATATGCTCATAAAAACAAAAGTTTATTTAAAAAACATAGTGATATACATAATATAAACACGAGAAATAAAGACAAATATGTTGTTCCCACTACTAGACAAAGAAAATAAGTGGTTCGTTTAGATGTCAGAGTATACGCTTTTACAATAAGATTCCCAGCCATATCCAAAATTTGAGTCTAAATAAATTTAAAAATGTCATTAAAGATAAATTTTATAGTAAAGCTTATTATAAAATAAAAGACTACCTAGATGATAGTCTGGCTTGGGAATAAGCTGCTGTAACGTCCACACAGGTCATGTTGACATGTTTGTAACATATAGTTACATTTCTTTTTTTATATGCAATTTGACATTATTGTTTTAATGTGACATTGTTTTTCATATGTTGTTCTAACTTGACATTTACTTTTTATTTAACAATTGTTAGTGCTAGGACCGTGCGAGACTTTGCCTCACCATTTCTTTTCTAATTACCCTTTTTCTGACAGTTTGAGTATTTGTGCGACCCACGCAAATGTTCTTTAGGTTGGTATTGTTCGTCGAATCAGTCAGCCTCACCTGTTAATTGAGCTGACTGTAAACCGACACATGCGTACTGCCTTCAGAACGGGTCCGCTCAAACTGTTGTGGTTCTTTCCTCAAAAGCCCACTACAGAAAGAACTGGCACGGTTCTCACACATAATCTGTTATACATATTGTCTGGACTTTAAAAGAGACAGACCTCTGAGTTTGTTTCGGCATTTCTTCTCAGAGTAGTCAGTTAGGAAATGTCGACCTCATCGTTCGCTTGATAAAATTGACATGTAAAAGTGCTGCCTTGTAGCCTATTTGCAGAAATAAATTCACTGATTCCAGTTTTATCGTATTTTAAAATTATTCGTTATTTGTACACACAACAGTTTACTTACTTATTTACTCTGTTGACTCAGCAATCAAAGTGAAACTTTCACTTTTGGAGGCTATTATTAGGATTAGAGGCCAAGGCTTCTATACGATATTTCGCTATTTCTTGCGGTTCTTCGCAACCTCACCGATAGGCAATTCGAAGTTCTTTCAAATACAGTTAGTTAAGTTTAGATTGATATCGATAAGTCAATCGAGACAATGTATAAAATTTATTATACCTCTAACTAAAATTTCTTAATGCTATGTACCAGGTGTTTGGAGTACCACTACCGGACTTACCGACGGGCGAGAGCAACATCCCCATAGTCGTGGACAGGCTAATTACTACGATAGAAATGACCGGCCTCTACACAGAGGGCTTGTACAGAAAAAGTGGACTTAGTTCGAAGGTAAGAATCATTGAATGTTTGTTAGCATCATATCAACAGCATGTGATAATCTTCTGATGGATTACGAGCCTTCTCTACGTCTTAGCAAGCTGGTTGGAGATAGTAGCACAGTTCTCTTAAATGCGTAGTCCCTTGGTCGGCTCTTACAATAAGAGAGTAATGTTAAGAGTAAAACAAATTGTAATCCTCCTTATTGTGCCTTATTGCTATTTACTACTTTTTTAGTAGCTATGCCATTAGTAATAACATCATCAACAGTCGGAAGACGTCCAAAACTGGATAAACATTGGTAATATATTAACCTTATGTACCTTGCGTAGGTGCGTGAGCTTAGACGGCTACTGGACGAGTCCCCGGAGGAGGGCGTGGACCGACTGGACCTGTACGCCGTGCACGTGCGTGCGTCGGTACTGAAGAGCTTCTTCCGCGAGCTGCCCGAGCCACTGCTGACCTTCGATCTATACGACGACTTCATACTCGCCGCGCAGATCTCTGACCCACAGGTACCACTAACATTCATTTTATTTTATATGATTAGTAGCTGACCTGGTTCTAATTTGCACATGCTTCCTAATTTCTTGCACTTCATATGACCCCGTGAGCTATATTTAAAAACTCAAAAGTATATCATGACATTTGCGAATATTTTTAATTAGTCTGAAAAGCCTGTTAATTTTATTACGAGAGAATTAATATGAGCTAAAAAGATATGGTATTATAGTAAACTATTTTCCTTATTTTTCTAGGAGCGGGTCTCTACTATATTTACAATTCTAAGAAAGCTACCGAAACCAAACTTCGATCTTGTCGAGAGGCTAATATTCCACCTGGCGAGGGTGGCACTTGGAGAGGATCATAATAGGTAATGTTGCCATTTAATCGTCTGTTAGAGTTGGTATGCTAATACTAGTTAAGTGGTTATTATAATAATATAATGCATAGTAATAATCTTTTAAACCATAAAAATAAATATTATGTTTAGAGGTATTTTGCTTTACTTACATGATGTTTTTTATGATTCTTATGAGTTGGGTCACTATTCTTGAGAATGCTTCGATGTATTAAGTAAAATCTTAATCTAATATGTTTTGTACATTCATCAGGATGGGTCCAAATGCGTTAGCGATAGTGTTTGCCCCGTGCATACTGCGCACACACAAGATACAACCTGCACAGGACTCACTGCACGACATCGCGCGACAGACTGCCTGTCTAGAGGCCATACTCGTTGATAAGATGCGCACCGTAAGTTAAATTCATCATTATAAATAGTATCTGTAATAATATCTAAAAGCGAGAAAACCAAGATTGTCAAAGGTGAACATGTGTCTGTGAATATTGTTATAAAATCTTCATTCAAAAATCTTCGCAGAATTGCAGATGACATGTTTTGCGAAGTATTTTTAGATACACCTGATGGCTCAGTAACCCAAAGTGGATTTTGGCCTCCAATGCAAGAATGCGTAGAATTCGGATTATGCCGCTTTCTCGCCAAGTTTTAACACGCATTATAAAAATGTAATAACAATTGTTTGGTTCCTAGGTGCGCGGCATGCTCCAGGACATAGCGACGCTGGACACGGCGTGCCACACGGCCACCAGCCGCCTGTCGTCGCTGCGCTCCCACAGCCACGCGCCGCGCCCCGAGGAACAGATCCTCGTCGGACACATACACGAGATACAGAAGGAGAAGGCCATCCTCACCTCCAACCTGCCCACACTAATCAGGTATGACACCTACACCAAGCGGGGGCGACGCTAATGCCACCATATCGTAAGTAACACTACTAATATTGCTTACAAACTTATCTATTGACAATATCCCTATATTGTGTCAAAAATTTATTATTTCTACTAAAACATCTAATAGTATCTAATAATAACAATTCTCTCATTATTTGATTAAAAGATTTTATAGCTAAGTTGAGAGAAATAAGTAATAAACAATAAGCATATGAAAAATCTACTGACTTTGATTAGTTGTCATCATTCGTCATAATCACATAATGTTGTGGTTAACAGAGCGACGTCAGACGACGAGATGCTCTCTACGACGGACCACGACGGCGAGCTGGGCAGCACTGACGACCTGAGTACCGGGGCCAGTTCCATGCGGTCGCAGAGACTCTTACACCGACAGCTCTCCTCAGACGACCCCATCATGGTGTAACGCCACAGTCTTCACACCGTGGATCAATACATGGACGTTTACACCCGGGCTGCAGCAACGTAAGTGCGTCAAATACTCGGGAGCCTCCACCCAGATGCTATGCAATGATGTCCAAGTTTTGCCATGATAATTATAAATGTTGTCAAAACATGCATGATTCGATAAGTTTCCTATATTCAAATTCATGACAGAATAAATTAGTTCAATGTTCCTGTGCGTTATTTTACATTTTAATTGTTTAGAATTACACCACTGTAGAGTGTTTTAAAACTCGCCGGATAGTATTTATTGTATGTTTGCGACTTGTCCCGTACTGTTGCTAATAGTTAGCGAAGAAATAACTTCAAATAGAGATTGATGTGCAACCAACACTCCTGTTCTTGTATATCGTACTATGTGCTATGTAATTGAGCTGTTTTAGACAAGTATACATGTGCTAGCAGTAGTGTGCGCGTGCGCAGTCGACGTAGCCGTTGTTCTACCGTACTTAGACGTAGTGATGAGCTTATTTCAGTAAGTCATAGTCGCCGCTACTACACCTTGGCGATTGCCCAAACTTGTGATGTGTGAATATAAAAGTATTTTTTCGTACATAAAAATATTTACATCCATCTTTGCACTGACGTATTTTATGATATATTTTCTGTGTAAATATGTAAATCTTGTCTAAAGGTGATTTTAAAAATTATAGCAATATATTGTTCTTCTTTCGTATTTTGTTATTATATTAGACGACTTAAGATGACACGTGACTGTATTTTCAAAGTTTGCGATTGGTTGGTAGGTTACAACTACTAGCTACTTGGTGAAAAGTGATCCATTCCATTTTGTGTAATTATTTTATTTAGGTATATTATGTCGTCTCTTTGTCGACGCAAAATGGTAACAAAATTGTCTGACACACATCAAAAGAATATGCCAAATTGGTGTTTATTCTTAACTTTCATATAGTTTTAGGACGATGAATTAGTGATGTTGTATTCTGAGTTAGCTCGTGAGTCGTGTAATGTTCTGTAGAAAAGTTCAAAATTAAACCAACCCAAAGACATCACTAAATGACGTTAGAATTACGCAATTTTATTGAGATTTTGTGATCCTAGTTAACTAATCATGTTCCAAACTATACAAGGTATCAATTAATTATTTTATAAACCAAAATTTATATCTAGTTGCTTTGTCTTCATGATATACTTACTATATTATTTACCAACTTGTATGTTATACGTGAATATTGTGAAGCATTCAGAAAATTTTAATCTGGTTTCAAAAATAATATTTACATTAAATATTTTGCCTGAGTACTTATGATCATAACGAATGTCCTAGACATTTAATGGTTATTTTACGTATAATTAAATATAATGTTTTAAAATATAACAATTTCTTCTTACTACGGTACTTGGCGCCTCAACATGATGTTAAGTTTGTAATTCATATTCCTATGGTTTAATATTATTATCCCAAATATGATAATGAACACCATGTACCTTGCCTCTATCTTAATTTGCTTTCATATTCTAAAAGACTGTCTTAAAATAAGCTATTGAATTTATTGTTAAGTCACAAATATTTTACCCGCTTTTTATTAATTAGTTTTAACAATTTACTATACAAACAACGAATTACTCTGTGACAACTTGTAATGTTTGTTAGCCTCTCGTTTAACTATCGTCTGTGGACATATTTTATAGCTCAATATTTATGATGGACTGTATTAACTTACTTATATTCTAATAAGCTTAAATAAACTTTTTGTACCATTTATAATGCCACGAAATTTGTTTGAATCTCACAGTTGATACTGAGGCGTACCTTTCTGAGCAATTTACACAGAACAGAAAAGTGAATGAAGAAAACTATTCTTAGACTTATTTGCATTTGTTAAATTTAAATGAACCGTGGAAGTGCATGTCTTATCAAGGTGCCGAACAAATACTATATTTTTATGTATAAAAAACTCTGTTGTTTCTCGTTTATTGGGGTTGTGTCGCAGTAATCTAGTGTACTTTCTGTGCCTTCAACTAGTTTGCTTTCAGCAGTCTCTGACTGGCCTGAACATGTCTAAAAGTCTAGCTATTATTGTTGATGGTTTACATTTATTAGTATTCTTGTATAGCGTTGTTAGCGTCAACATTAATATTAGCCACATACATTCTACATTTCAAGTATATAAATATATGTGTAACGTGGTTAGGTCTCGATAATATAATCGCATCGTGTTAACGAGCTCCCCATCAGCGAACATACTCATAATCATAATGTTAAACTAAGTTATTTTACAAGAAAAATTAATGAATGTGCAATGTGGCTACGACTAGGAATGAACACTTTAGAAGTGTATGTAGATATTCGCCTGTTCCGCGTAAGGTTTATGTAAATAATTTATTAGTTCTATGACAACTCTTAGCAAGGTACTATTTTATCTTAAGGACTGCTATAGTCTCTGCCACTGTTTATTTGTGAAAGTGCCTATCGATCATTGTTTCATTTTAAATCTCTATTGGTGCATTATATCATTGGATTGTTGAAATTTTATCGTAGTTCGTCGTTTCATATTAAATATCATTCGAAGTTAAATTTTAAACCTAAAATTGTATGTGCAACATCACATTTTATTTTTCTGTTGCCAACTAGCAATGTAACAGTTATTTTATTAATACCCATGTTTATGGAACTGATTATAAGATATTAGTTGGATATTTCAGTAAGTTACAGACAACTGGCATTTGTTTATTCAACCCTGTAATTGTATTTGCTATAAGGACCAATAATAAGCTGTTTACACATGGTCGTTTTATATACCTGTATGTCATTTGACTGTGAACTTTGTCCTAAATGTTAATCAATAATGAATCTTGTATCATATAAACATGTATATTGTTCAACTATTTTTAGGGATCCTATAATGTGTCAATATAAATGAAATGTAACCAAAACATTATACTGTATACAAAATATGAAAATAAAAAAAAAGAATAATGAGATAAATGTGTTTAATTATATAATTATAAATTATGATTAATTTGTATGATTAATTTGTTTCCATCTCTATTTCCGATACTTTAGTCTGGCAAGGCAGTTTACCGATAGGACAAGTTGACCAGTCTATTTCATTGGCAGCTAATTTCCAAATACTGTTGATTTCTGGGTGTGTACCAGGCCTGTTGATTGTATCTTCATTTCCACATTCCTGTTCAGTATTTTCAACAATCATAACATCATCATTTTCTTCCAAATCATCAACTGTGTAAATCACAGAAGTTGTAGTAACAGGGAACTTTTCTGGAGTTGATATTAATTTAGCCAATGTGCAAATTTTTTGTGAGACCATCGCTGGCAGATTCGGCTCAAGTAAATCTAACAGATCACTTATAAAGTAAGTTAAATAATTACTGTAAGCAGTAATTATTGGGTTGATTTCACTGATGTCTTGTAGCTCCGCAGGGACAGATTTATGAAGGTCCAACAGAAGTCTATTTTTGATGCTACTGCCAGGGTACCAATGTTCATATAAGCGTTTTAAATCTTTCCTCTTCTTTGAAGTTTTGTCATCATAACTCATTCTGGAAAAATATACAAGAATAAGTACCTAACTAATAATTGAAACAAATGCAAAGCAAATTAAGTTACAAAAGTTATACTTACTTTCTCATTTTTCTATCAATATTTTGTGATATTTTGAGAGCAGCTAAAATTTCTGATAGCCACAAGGCAGATAGTTTAGATTTAAAATGTCCACTTTCTTGACTTTGTGTGATCTTTATAAGGCCCAGAATTAAATCCAACAATAGATCATTTGTATGAAGGAATGCCAACAACATTTCAAAGCATTTAACATAGCTACTGCATAATTTATTTTTGTATTTAAAGTCACTTGCACCAAAGAAGTATAAAAGTTCCTTTGAAAGCAACAGCGACTCATTTCCAAGTAATATCTCATTCATAGCTGCGCTCGGCTCCTTCACCTTCAAGAGCTTTTTACCTTCAAGGTTTAATGTGTTAATAAGTGAATTAATAGACACGGTTTTTAGATTGGACAGATCAACATGGTCCTGAAGCAATTCTATCGCATTACTTACTATTGTATCTCTCATTTTCGCATTTGGTATTTCTGATAAGTTTTTGATTTTCAGTTTTGTCTGAGTGCATATCCCTAATGAAATATAAAAATTAAACAGTGCTGCGATTTTGTATGAATCTCCAGCAACAGGGTATTCCTGTCCGCAAACATAATCTTGAATGTATGGCTTTAGTTTGTCCCAGTAATTTAATTGAAGCCAGTGTAAACTAATTGCACATCCATCCCTTAGCAATTTTAAAGGCGGCAGTGTGTTACTGTGCGCTGTATCGTGTCGCAAGTCAACGACCCAGTCTGGGACGCCTAAGGTTCTAGCTGCTTGGTATAAACTGGAGCCTTTTACTGTTACTGTGTCTAACATATGGTTAACAAATCGCATGATGGCAGATGAATATGCCAAACGCAGTAATTGATCACTGCTTCCATCGTCAGAATTCTTTTTGTCTTCAATGTGAACTTGCAACAAACTCAATGTTGACTCAATGCCGGATGGCAGAGATGGGCTTCTGGCTTTCCACACAAGTAAACGTTCAAGCAACTTTTCTTTATTTGAAGACGTATTTGCTAAATCGTTATAGACACTGTGCCACTCATCGCTGTTAAACCACGGAACCACATGGTAAGACTCACTCATTTTGAATGACTACTATTAAAATTAATCAATACGATAAAATATAAATACAATCATACTACAACTAAAATATAACCTCTAAATACCGATTCATTCAATATTTGACGTTTAGTCAGTTGTCAGTGTCAATGTCATCTTCCATATTTTTGACGAATTATTGCAGGAGACAGAGTGAATTAAGCATTATAGGCACAAAAAGAGACTCAGTGCCGGATTAGCCACGTAGCAAGAGTAGCAAATGCTACGGGCCCCGCGGATTGGAGGGCCCCGCGCTCAAATAGGTATTTCGTAATTACCTACACCACTTCAACAG